TTTTTTTTTTAAATCTTTATTCACTTTTTGAGAGAGAGAGTATGAGCAGGGAGGAGCAGAGAGACAGGGAGACACAGAATCCGAAGCAGTCTCCAGGCTCTGTGCTGCTAGAACCTGGAGCCTGCTTCAGATTCTGTGTCTCCCTCTCTCTCTACCCCTCCCCTGCTCAGGCTCTCAAAAGTGAATAAATGTTTAAAAAATTTTTTTTTAATTTCTTGAGCTAAAGTTGTTTCAGTTACTGACAGATTCTATTTCAAGCAGAGGCGTTTGCACTCCTGCCCAGCCTTTGTAGGTGGTCCTGTCTTTGAGGGAGGGAATCTGGCTGGCTGGTCACAGGTGAGTGTCCTGAAGCCAGTCACTGGGTTAGTGTGAGTGTGTATCTCACCGTGGTGAGTGTGCATGTGTGTGGGGGGTACTTGCTGGCCCTTTTTGACTAGGCATTTGGTAGTCATTGAACCTGGCTTCACAAGGTCCCACTCCATCCCAAGACCCACTGTATCCCCTCCCCGCTCTGGTGGGGCAGACACTCCGATGGCCATGGCCTCACCTCACTTCGTGTCCCCTGCTGCAGTTTCAGGGGGGCAGGTGTGCTAGGGCAGCAGCTCCTGCCTGTGGGGCTCAGGGATGTGAGGGCTGGGGGGCAGGGGTCCCTGTGTAGTCTCAGGAAGGAAGGTGTAGCAGGAAGGTGGGTCTGGGTCCCCTCTCTGCTGTGCGTGCCATGTCAGGATCTAGTACGTGCAGTCAGTGTGCTTAGGTCCCAGGAAGCAGCAGGTGGAATTTGGTGAGTTGTAGGGTGTCAGGGGATGGGCACGGTGCCCGGCACACAGTAGGTGTTTACTTAGTGTTTGCCAGTTCATGTTGTCAGCTCCTTCCCTCTGCCTCACTCAGGCCTGGCTCCCTCCCTGCCATCCCTTGGTCCTGGGCGTCAGAGCCTGCTGCCTGGGGCCATGGCCCCAGCTTACCCAGCACATGCTGCTTCCCTCCTTTGTCCTGGCTGCCTTCACTGCTCTCACCACCCCTGCCTCTCCCAGCTCCTGGAAGGCCGGCCCGCCTGCCCTTCGAGGCCTGGGCGCTTCTTGGAGCCGCCTCCACCTCACCTCTGGACTTGCCCCAGCCCGGCTCCCAAAACCAGCTTCCAGCCCCTGAGTCCCTCCCGTCCTGCAGACTCAGCGGCTGAGCTGAGTGGCAGCATCTGCTCTGTGTTCTAGACTGACTCCCTCCTTCCCTTCCTCCTTCCCTCTCATAATCTCCCCTCCCAGTGATCGGGGAAACTGAGGATGCTCAGGATGGGGTTCTCAGGCACTAGGTCCCATGAAGGTCTTTGCACAGAAGGTACAGCTGTGAGTCAGTTTAGCCATGAAGGAGGTGCTGTGAGAGCCTCCTGTGCCCCACTGACTGCTGCAGACCCCACACCAGCCTTGGGGTCGCCCCCTTGTTGTGTCCACTACACAGCTGGGAGAACCGAGGCACCGAGAGGCTGAGTTTTGCTCAAGGCTGTGAGCCTGGGTGGCCTGTCCCTGAGAGGGCAGGTTCTCGAGGAGGAGGGAAGGGCAATCGGAGGCCTCCTCAGGTGTTTGCTTGGGGCAGGAAGAGCCCCGACTTGGCTAAGGCCTGTGGGGGTTCTCTTGGAGGATGGAGTGGCATCCTTGGGGCTGGAGGGCTCTGGGGGACCCGTCTGTGCGGCCGCCCGCCGTGGGCATGCGGGGGCCAGACTTGGGCCCGACGGTGGGGTCTGGAGGGTCCTGGAGGCGCTGAGGTGGCCCTGCCCACGAGGTCTGGCCGTGGGGAGAGGTAGGTGTGGGCATCCAAAGACGAGGAGCACGCGGCCCTCCAGGGCTCCCTGCTCTGCTACCTGTGGAATGTGTTGCCCAGGGGTCGTGAAGCGAACGTGAGGGCTCTTCCACTCTGTGAGGTGCCGGAGTCTCCTGCACTGCCTCTGTGTCCTCTTCTGTCCTGTCCGCGGTGGCTCGCTGTGACGGAGTTGCTTCCCAAAATGGGGGTGGGCGGGAGCCTGAGAGCTTCGGCCCTGGCGGGTAAGGAGGTGCTGCGTGTGCTGTGCAGGGCCGTGGCCTCCACTCTGGCTCCAGGGGACAGAGTGGACCCTGCCTGGCCCTCAGGAGCTGTGTGGCCCTGGACTGACAGCTCAGGTCACCAAGGGCCAGAGCACCTGCAGCGCACGGGCAGCCGGTGGCCAGAGAGCTGCGGCCAGGTGGACGTGCCTCCTGCTGGGCTTCCCCCGTCAGCTGTGGGAGCCTGGCCCCTTGCTGGGAAGGAGGAGATGAGTCTTCCCTGTCAGTGAGGACAGCTGCCCCTCGGTCACACTTGCTTCACTGTGTCGGTGCGCGCCAGGGGTGAAGAAAGACTGTGAGGCGAAGGTCGGCAGCAGGCAGGGGCTGGCCAGGACCCTGCTGGCGCTGATGGGCACCGCCCTCCCGGCCCCGGGCCCAGCATTGTCCAGCGTGGCGGGCAGGAGCGGGCCCAGTGTGGCTGCCCAGCAGCGTCCGGGCCCCGCTCTGCCCGGGGAGGGGGACCCAGAGGTGGGGTTGCAGGTGTGCAGGGTGCAGAGGCCGTCTGGGCCCGGGCAGGCGATGGTGTCTGGGAGGACTGGGGTCTGGCTTCCTTTTTAGAGCTTGATATTTTAAAAATTGTACCTTTGTTTTAGGAGCGTGAGAGACTAGAAGTGAGCAGTATCTGTGTGGGAATTCCGGAGATCGTTGATGGCGAGCATGGGCAAGGGCGGGCCGTTTCTCCTCCTAGGTCTTTTCCTCCGTGCGTGTCGGGGAGTGCCGCTGGACGCCACAGAATGGGGGGAGAACGTCCGGAGTGGTTTGTGAAGAGCCCCGGTTTAGCGTTACTCTCTGAGGTGCAGGAGCGCCCGTTTCCTTCAAGCAGATGGGCTCAGTGTCCGCGGGTCCGAAGTTGTTTCCGGTCTGTTGCCATGTCACGTGAGAGAATCGTGCGGTTTGTGTTGTTCGGGTTTGCTTTCTCAAAGGCAAGTGGCGTGCATCGCGCCCCTGCCGGACGGCTTCCCCCTTGTGTGGGGAAGTTTCGAGCAAACCCAAGTGGGGGGAATGTGTGGCTGGCACGTCAGTGGCTGCAGCTCCGGCCGTGTCTCCGTGAGCTCGGCTGTGTGCGGTGCTGGGAAACCCGCACGGAAACACAAGTTGAATGTTCCGTTGCACTCAGAGGTGAATTGTCACCTCTGACAGAGGTAACGGTTCCACGGCATTGTCACAACCGGTGAGCGTTGGGGTTTCCCGTGTGGCTCAGAGATGTTGCTCGGGAGCCAAAAGGGCGCTTGGAGGGCCTGGCCGCACAGACAGGGCTGCGGGTGCCTGTCCCTGAGGCTGCCGTCCGCCTCCCGCTGGGAGCCTGGTGCTGTTCTCCCTCCTGCCTCCTGCAGGCCCCCAGCACCCCACTCTTAAATCTGTTTGTGTTTTCCCTTTTTAAAAAGCTGGTGGGAGTGCTTTCTTCACCTGATTTGTGGACTGTCTCCTCGTGGCTGGGTGGTTGTCGCCCATCCAGCGCGTTTGTTAGACCAGCCCTCCTGTACCTCCTCTGCCCGCCGGGGCTCACTGTCCCCTGTCGGGTGTATCCTGACTGATGCAGAGAGATGCCAGCTCCCTGTGACCCAGGAGGGAGGGGCCGTCCTTGTCCCTGTTGCACGGGTGGGGACCTGGGTCCGTGGGGGCTCGCGGCTCACGCTGTATGCTAGCAAGGCTGGATTGACCCCTAGGGGTCCCCTCCCTGCACCTTGGTTTCCTTGTTTTAGGCCGGTGCATCCCTGAAGCCCCAGCAGTGATGGAGTGAGTGTGGGCCAGGGACCCGTTCTCTGTCATTTGCTGCCTGGGGTCCCCTGGGCTGTCTTCTCCCTCCTTCCCCCTTGTGGCCCATCTCGGCCAGAGGGATTCCCTGGGTGGTCAGAGGGAATGTTGGCCCTGGGATGGGGGCAGGGGAG